GTATATTTTGGAAACTTGATGTATTGTGAAATTCGTGGTGTAAGTTTGAATGTTATTTATGGAAGTGATTTCTCTTTCTTACTTTACCTTGTCGTGATGGCTAGTATTGTATTAACCTTGACCGGGAATTGTCTTGAGTTCTGGCGAAAGTTGGGCAGGCGTTCCGTGGATACCCTTTGGTTCACCTTAGAGAGAAGTGGCGGCGTCACACCTTCTCACTGTTTATGTACATTAAATTTCGATGTCATTATTGTCAAGGTCGAGTAAACTTGGCTAATTTCGGGGATAAATCTGCAATTAAAATAAACTTTAGGGGAGGTAAACATAAAGTCATAACTAACCCAAACCTTTTGTGTTTTTGTGTTATTTCAATGTCGTCCTTCTTAAGTCTTAACAAGCACTAACTAGATAAGATAAGGCTGTTTTAACACTTTTAATAAGCTTCTGCTATTAACTTATATACTAGTTTTTATTTATGGTCACACTTGCCAACGACTTCCAGTAAATTCTCCTTCTTTAGTTTTTTTTTTTTTGTGGGGGTGGAGAGGTGTTTCTTAGTGTTTGCTAATTAATTTTATTAATTTTCCGTATACATTTGGTGTTCCCTTATGTTTAGGTACTAATTCTAAAAATATATAAAATCCCTCAAAATTTCATGTTTCACGTATCTGCCCCCTCGTGCGTATGTACACATACACACATATATGTGTATTTGCAGGAATGGAGAAGGAATATTTAAACCAAAGATTTCTAAATCCTAGTAAATATATGTATTTTTTATTTACCAATATAGTTCGTCATAGTTCAATTTCAATGCTTAGCTCCACCTATGAATTTTGCAAGTCTAATATTAGAATGTTTCGATAGCAAATTTTTTCAAATAATATATTCACTTATATCATAAATACATTTTTCAATTCATTTTTTTATATTTTTAACCACATCACATCACAAGAATTGTTATAATAATTATTTCAAATAATAATCTATCCAAACACTTCCGAAGCCGTCGTGCGGCCTAAGGCCCACTGCCTAGCCATGAGGGGCACCGTCGTGCGTTTTAGTTGCCGTCAGTGTGGCATCGTGCCCCTGCCTTAGCCAACGCAAGCCAACGCCCATCGTGCGGCCTCAGGCCCACCGCCTAGCAATGAGAGGCACCGTCGTGCGTTTTATTTGCCGTCGGTGTGGCATCGTGCCCATGCCTTAGCCAACGCAAGGCAACGGCCGTCGTGCGGCCTAAGGCCAAACGCCTAGCCATGAGGGGCACCGTCGTGCGTTTTACTTGCCGTCGGTGTGGCATCGTGCCCATGCTTTAGCCAACGCAGGGCAAGGCCGCCGCCTCCAACCGCCTAGCCATGAGGGGCACCGTCGGCCGTTCTTCTTGCCGTCGGTGTGGCCATCGTGGCCTATGCCTTAGCCAACGCAGGCAACGGCCGTCGTGGCGCCTAAGGCCCACCCGCCTAGCCATGAGGGGCACCGTCGTGCGGTTTTTCTTGCCGTCGGTGTGGCATTGTGCCCTTGCCTTAGCCAACGCAAGGCAACGGCCGTCGTGTGGCCTAAGGCCTACCGCCTAGCCATGAGGGGCACCGTCGGGCGTTTTTCTTGCCGTCGGTGTGGCATCGTGCCCTTGTCTTAGCCAACGCAAGGCAATGGCCGTCGTGTGGCCTAAGGCCTACCACCTAGCCATGAGGGGCACTGTCGTGCATTTTTCTTGCCGTTGCCTTAGCCAACGCAAGGCAACGGTCGTCGTGTGGCCTAAGGCCCACCGCTTAGCCATGAGGGGCACCGTCGTGCATTTTTCTTGCTGTGGATGTGGCGTCGTGCCCATGCCTTAGCCAACGCAAGCCAACGGCCGTCGTGCGGCCTTAGGCCTATCGCCTTGCCATGATGGGCACCGTCGTGCGTTTTTCACGTCGTCGGTGTAGTGTCGTGCCAATGCTCCGTCATGCGGCCTAAGACTCACCGCCTAGCTTTGTTTTCGCTTATTTTTATCTTTTTAAGCATACATGTTGAGTCTCGTTAATGTCCACCGCCGTATGTCTTTGAAATTCATAAATTGCTTTTTTTTATTAAACTATATTTTTGTATTTTTTATTATTTTTTTGTTTTTATTTTTGTTCAATTCAATCTTGGAAATTTTATTATTTTTTATTGTTTTTATTGTTTTTATTTTTGTTCAATTCAATCTTGGAAATTTTTTTTTATATTTGTTTCAAGCACCCATATGTAGGTGTGTTAAATACACACTAAATTGCCATCTATTGGTGGCTATATTTGTGAGACGAAAAGGGTGTGGGTCTACTAACAGTTTGAGTTTTTTAGTTTCAAGACTATCAGGGAGAGTTGAGATGCTTGACCTGTCAAGGCCATAGGAAGGCCGTCGGTACTAGAAACACGTTAGACATCATCGTTGGGCATGTAAGGGCACTTAAATTCTTTCTTTGCCTCAAAATTTCAAGAGTCGGTCGGTTGAGCGGGCGTCGTGCACGGCGGTCGTTCGTTTACGTCGTTTTTGTGTGTGTTGCGTGCCTTACGTTGCATGATCTTGGCATCCAAGCTGGCATCGGTGACTGATTGGGGTTGTCGATGCACGGCTTAGGTGCTCAGACGGTGCAGTTCGTGACGGCGCGTGGGTAGCGGTGGGCATGTTTGGGCTGGTCGGATCCCCGCTGGTGCGGTGACGTCTTCCTTCACATTCCCCTTCAATCGTTGGCGCAAGAGCAGCATCGTTAGCCTTGGCTGCCCATGGGTTTCCTGTGTTGCATACCTATTAGAAGGAATTCGGATGCCACAACATTCAACGTTCTCCCAACGCCGTCTCGCCCGGTCGGGCTGCGGCGGCGTCGGGGAACCGTAAAGGCGAGGCCGTGTTCCGAGTCGCAGACAAGCGATGCGTCTCGGCCCACGAACTGTAGCCCGAGCTCTCGGACGCGGAACACCCGGAGGGCAGGAGATCTTCGATCTCTATTTGCCTGAACTTGGCGTCAATCACCCGCATCGAACGACTGCCATCGTCGCCTCGAGACGTCACGTCTCCTTCGAGCTCGTTGACCTCGTGCGACGTCGGCGTCGGTGAGGAATGCTACCTGGTTGATCCTGCCAGTAGTCATATGCTTGTCTCAAAGATTAAGCCATGCATGTGTAAGTATGAACTAATTCAGACTGTGAAACTGCGAATGGCTCATTAAATCAGTTATAGTTTGTTTGATGGTACCTGCTACTCGGATAACCGTACTAATTCTAGAGCTAATACGTGCAACAAACCCCGACTTCTGGAAGGGATGCATTTATTAGATAAAAGGTCGACGCGGGCTCTGCCCGTTGCTGCGATGATTCATGATAACTTGACGGATCGCATGGCTTTCGTGCTGGCGACGCATCATTCAAATTTCGGTAAATACATGAGACCAATCATGAAAATATCAAAATTCAAAGAAATAAATTTAGAAATATTCAAAATTTAAGGGACGAAATCTATCCCTATTGCCTTCTTATCTCTAGTTTGAATTAAAATAAATAAAAAATTTATAATGTTGTATTTAATAGTGGTGGGCAAAAAAACCTGCCGATCTGAAAATCCGATGAACTCGATCCGATCCGAAAAATAGGATATTCGATTCAATTTTTCTTGGCGGGGCAGATGAGGGTCGGGTATCGCAAAAAATCGGGTATGGATATGGATCAGAAAAATAAAAACCCGCGGGTATCCGACCCGCAGAGTATATTTTATGAATATTAAAATTATGAATCATTTTATAACTTTGTAATTTTTAATTCTAAGTGCAAGTGAAGTGGCTTATAGCTTCATATTCTAATCCTATATGATTCACCTCTCCTTATCTTGTTTAAAGAAAGTGAATATTCTCGGTGAAACATGAACCAAATGAACAAAATGAAAAAAAATTTGTGAAATTTTGTTATAAAATTTGTTCATCCCTTTCATCCTTTTTATTTTTATTCTACCTCTATCGATCTTTCCTGAAAGTTTTGCATCAATGCAATCAAATATTTGTGTTTGGAGTTTCAATTTTCTATTAGCTAGATAATTAAAACATTTGTGTCTTTCATTTATTTATTTATTTGATTTATTTTATTACAATTATGTCTCTTAAATTTGTCTCTTTTATTTAGTGTAAGAAATTTATTTTTTTTCATTACCTTTAATACCATAAGGTTTATTCCAAATATGTAAAGAAGTTGGGAAAGATTTTTTAAGGTTATTTTGGTTATATTTTTTCCGAAAATAATTAGTTCAATTCAATTCTTTTCTGAATTTGATTTCACAATCGACTTATTTGGGATGCAGTCTTGTACCTTAAGGAAGTTGGGGAAGTTGCCAAATACTTATTATCCTTATGTTTGTTATGTTGTAGAAGGATGAAATACGTGAGAATGATGATATACTCAAAATTATTATAAAATTTCGTTTTATCCATTAGATATTATAATTATAATATGTACTAAATTTATAAGATCGATTTGATTGTTGGATGCAATGTGTGAAAATAGTGATGTATGGACTTTAATTACAATATCTTTACCAATATTAATTGAAAAAATATTTTTTTTAATTGAAAAAATGTTGATATTAAGTGAAAAATAATTTTTTTATTGAAAATAATTTTTTTGGGAGGTACCCTATGACCCGCCTCGTTTTTCGAGTACCCGAATAGTGGGTACCCGAAAACATTAGGAGCGGGTTAGAGTTGTAAAATGGCTGATCCAATTGATTAGGATCGGATCAGCCAAATCATGTTAGAGACGGGTACTCGACTCGTGTCCACCCCTACCCAGATGAACTTTGCAAAAGTCAAACAGCACTAAACTTTGGATCTAATCTATCGGATCAGCCAAATCATGTTAGAGACGGGTACCCGACTCATGCCCAACCCTATCCCTATCCAGATGAACTTTGCAAAAGTCAAAACGGCACTAAACTTTGGATTAGTTCAAAATACAAGGACCAGGACTAAAAAAAATGACAAAAAAAAAAAAAAGAAATTCCTTGGGGAACAAAACAGAGGTTTCTTGTTTCCACTGTCACTCTCCAGTCTCCTCTCCTTGTAAAAAATCAGAGAGAGAGGCCCAAAGAAAAAGGGAAAAAATCCGGTGGTGAATATGAGGAGGGATAGCTGTTTGGCAAAAGTAACTGCTGGCGTTGTCGTCGGGGGCGCTATTGGCGGTGCCGTTGGTAAAATTTGCATCGCCTTTTGTTTTTCCCCTCTTAAACCCTAATTTTATTTATTTTGTCAAAACCTTAGAATTTAGTTTAATTTTTACTCATTCTTGTTGTTAAATTAGAAATTAGAGAAATGAGAGGTCTTAATTCCACTTATTTATGTGCTCGAGATTAGCGGAATTTCTTACCAGTTAGTCCCCTGTGAAAAATGGTTCCTTGTGTTTTCATTTTTAACTGATTTTTTTGGGAGAATATGAGGTTTAATTTGATATTTTTCCAATTTGTTGCCCAGGTGCTTGTTATGGAACTTTTGACGCTATCAGATGCAAGGTAAATAGGTTTTTTCCACTTAAATTAGCTTTTGTCCATTTTCTTCGTAGTAATTTTGTTAGATACATTACTTCGGATATTTCTTATTTTTCGTTTCTAGTTAATGTGTTTTGGGGGATTATTATTATTTGGTGTTGGTGGTGGATGGGTGGGTGGGCTGGTCATCTGGAAGTGGCTTAGTAGACTTGAGTTTTCTTATACTAATTTAGCAGGAAAACTGCAGTACAGTGTCTAATTCCGTTATATGCTAGCCATATAATTCTTGAAGGTTTTTTGCCAACTTATTTCCTTTGGACTTGGTTTTGAATGAGGGCTTGGGGCTTAAAATGCATGACAATTAATGGCAGCAGAAGGTTTTAGCTTTGATAAGTTTGATAATTTTTTGTTTCCGTATTCGTCTTACTATTACTGATACAGAACAATATAAAGTTATCCTATGTTGATAATCAGTTAAGATATGTAGATTGGGGATAATGATTAGCCTAGAAGTCCAACTTTTGCTTTTAGTGTCAAAGTTCACTTTTGCATTCATTTTTGTCTGGATGTCAACCTTTTAAGAGTCTTTTGACTCAGAACATTGCCATATCAAGCTTGTAAATTTGGGTTTCGCAGATGTTCTTTTGAACCCAGTTCTGAGTAATATTTTGGTCTATGTGACTGAAGCATTTCTTAATTATCTATTGCTTCCTTTTCACTAAATTATCCTTCTTTACTTCATATCTTGCAAAAATTTGATATTCTGTCTCCATGTTCTTTATGTCCGTTTCGTTGTTATTTTGCAAACTGCCTCAAAACTAAAGAGGTGCCAGTTAATACCGGTTTTGGTACTGTTTAAATTCAATTCATCATGGATGGTTGAAGCTATTTACAGTGCTAACCATTTTTGCCTCAATTTCATGGCTAGATTAATTACCAATTCACTTTTAGATGTTGATTTCCAGCATTTCATTTCTTTTGGTTGAAGCTAATTGGTTGAATGATGTAAAGGATCTCTTAACATCCAAATTTGTATGATGAAATTGATAACATCATGATCTTGGGTTCCTGGAGGCTCAAGTTCTAACCAATGCTTATCTTTACATTGTTCCTTTGAAGAGCTTTACCTCCATTTAATTTTACTGCAAAGCCTACAAAAGCTGACTTTTTCCCCTCTATTTTGCTACACCTGGTGGATAAAAAAATAAAGTAGGAGTAGAGTATTATCTATCAGTTATCTGTGAACTTGGATATGAATAAGCAAAATATCCAAGTAAATGAAGTGGCCAATTTGAATATTGAATGGTTATTGGTTCCCTTGTTTTTTGTTGCTTTGAATTAAATGAACCTTTTTTTTGTAAATCTGGTTTGGTAACTTGAAACTTGTTCCTGTTGGAGAATGCCCTGCACTTAAAATTCACATCCAGTTTCATACTGATTGAGGTGGCAATTTGAAACTAACAACTATTTCTCAATATGTGGCTGTGCACCTGTAGATAGTTTGTAGTACCTGCCCTGCTCCAGTAGAATTATTCATTTCAGTTTGTAGCTTTTCTGCTACAAGATGATGTGTTCATGGATTTTGCTTGGAGTTTTGCAGCATTATATGGGCAATATATAAGGTTCTTCCTGTGTGTGGGGGATGAGTCATTGATGTGTGATTCACCAGAAGTTCAAGTAATAGATTGTGAATTTAGGTCAAATGGAATGGTCTTTTTTAATGTGCTTCAATTACTTATTCTGCGTTATAGATTTACTAATTCCTTTTCCCCTGTATCTAGTTAAAAGACCTCATTTTTGTCTTGGCCTCTGTTTGCCTGATTGATGTGGATAGTCCAAGGAGAATATGTTAAAGTGATTAGTGATCTGCCTAGTTTAGCAATTTCTTGCTGCACATAAAAGATGAAATGATATGGAAAACATGGCTATTGGTTGCTCTTTGCTTTCTCAAACTTCACATTTGACTTCGTAAGCCAATGCCTGCTTTTGGTTAACAAATATGCAGAAGTTAGACTTGGTATCTGAGACAAAGGATGCTTTTTACACATTGAAATTCAGATGTTATTAGGTCTTATATGCTGAAGGCTAGAATGATGTTTTTAGTATCTGTTTCATGGTCATCGCTTATACATTATGTTGATGTATCTGTCCAGGTTCCTGGCCTTCTGAAAATCAGATATATTGGCCAATCCACGCTGGGAAGTGCTGCGGTCTTTGGTCTTTTCTTGGGCGCTGGAAGCTTGATACATTGCACGAAGTGATATACGTTTTGCTTGTCTACGTCTGATGTTAGTTGTTAGTTGACGTTGACTTGGCCCTTATATATTATGATATTCACAGAACAGTTTCTGTATTGTGAGTCTGTCCTGGCAACATTTCTGTAGCTCGTTTCAAAGGTTGTTCCATAAACAGCTTCGTGGAGATAAATTTAAGTACAGCATTTCAATACCTTGGCTCTGTGCTGGGATTTTACCATTTATCATTTCTATATTAGAAATTGGAATACTTGATGTACTCTTCCGCTTACAGTTTCTGGTAATGCAAGGAGAATAGTTATGGTTGCATTAGTATCTTTCCACTGATGAAACCCAGATCCAATGGACATACTATTTTCTCTCTAAATGAGCACAAGATTTCTCTAAGAAACTAGTACGGTAGAGAGAGTTTTTGATATATGTTATGGTGTCGTTTTTCAAAAACACCTCTAAAAACACAAGTTATACAGATCCTAAGTTATACTCTTTCCGTTCCATTGAAAGGGTTCTACTTTTCTTTTTTACTGTCCCAAAATATTGGTTATATTTGACATTTTTAAATATTTTATACTCTAAAATTCTTCTTATGCCCATCATTAATGATGCATAAAGACAAATGTGATGGGATTGCTTTCTACTTCTTATTTTGATCAATCGCATGATTAATGACAAAAATATAACAAAAAGAAATTTTTTTTGATGATGTATCCTATATATATATAAAAAGGAGTTGGTATTTGACTGTTCGTTGTTTTTCATCCGACTTTTTTAGGGGTAATTTAGGTAACATGTTGGCATAGTACAACTGATCCAGTTTCGAGTGCAAGCATACTATGCTTATTGCTATGTGAGTTGATAAGCGTACCCTTGGTGGCATGATGATTACATTCTCAAATTAAGCTTATGTAGTAGTAGTGACAGCTTTACCCTTTTAACCATCCGTTAAATCTGTTTTTAAGACAAAGAGGTAGTTGGGTGAATTTGGAATTTAAACTTGTGCAAAGAGTATGATTAATTGAATTCAGTAACTGAAGTATCATTAAGACCATATGAATGCATCAAGATGATGATTAATTGACTACTCTATAGTGGAGGTGTAACTGTAGACGTTTTCCTCTCTTGAACTTCTGCATGTGCAATTGAACTCATACAAAGAGTGGTATGATCAAAATGAGCAATTATGACATCTTAAAGATAGGAGTAATGCATGAGAGATGAGGAATCTCTTGGAAAGCATCTTTAAAGTGTAACTGCAAAACTCTTCCTCTTCAGTAGCATTTGTTGAGCAAATTTTTGAGGTTGTTGGAATAATGAGGGTTGTTAATATAAAACCTCATTGGTTCAGCTGGTTATGGTTCATACCACATGTTGTTACTCTTTTTCTTTCCTTTCCTTGTGGTTTCCATTTCAACCCTTCGTGAAGGTATGCTTATTTTGCTACCCTTCTCCTTCTTATATTCTTTGATTAGATTTGAAAAGTTTGTTTTTTGTTATTTAAGTTCTTTGATTCAAAAATCCGATGTTCTTTTTTCCATGTTAGCATTGTTATATATGTATGATAAGATATCAATGGGTTGTATCTTTTTTTTTTTTGGAATCTGCTTTTGTTTAATTGTTTTAGTCCTGGTAGACACTATTAAAGTTTGCTTTTCATATCCTTATATACTTAAGATCCATTAAATAGTTTAAATTTATATACAATTCTGATCTCCTTTTCATGTCTTACTCCAATTAGCTGTGGGATGATCAAGCCAAAAGTTGTCTCCGAATGCTTGAGGGCCATGGTATTTGAGCCATGTGTTTTCATCCTAAATTTCCTATTATAATCATTGGTTCAGCTGATGATATTGTTCCAGGTATGGTGTGCAACTACTTACAGGTAATTTATACATTTGAAAACTCAACTTATTATTATTCATCTTATGAGAGTGCGATGCACCTGTTTCACTTTTGTAGCCTTGATCTCCTCTATTTTTTTTTCGGTACTAGGTTCCCTCATTTTTAAGAAAACAATATTTTTTATTCTATACAAAATCATACTTTATTTCACGGTGAATTTACCGATTAAACCACTCACTTGTTATGAATGATGAGTTCTATATATTTAGAAGACTAAATTTAGAGTATTACATATTGACAGTTCTTTTTTACTTTGTCTCGTGTTCTTTTCAACTGAATATTACAAATTTGTTAATTGCTACTCTAACTACTTATTCACAACACAGGTATCAACTCCCACGCGTTGCGTGGGACTCTTTGCTAGTACTATGCATAAAAAGCACATATTTCTAAACAAAACTAATATATGAGACGGAAGGAGTATATAATACCTACCTACCAGCAGTGGCTAGCCTGTGAGGTCCATCTTTGTCTTATCTAAATAACCCAATTCCCATTTGGACGGCATATGAATATCCGTAGGCCTTGAAACATTCTTTAAATTGGGTAGACGTGCATTCACAGACTAGCCCAATGTTTGCAAAGCATTGAACTAACAGAGACAACCCAATTTAATTATTTTTACATGAAAAATAGCAATTTGAAACGATACATCTGCTGAAATTTGTATACAGACAAGTTGTGTAACCTATCAGAAAAGCGTCCTGTTGAAGACATTTTGCACTGACGAGTATCTTTTGGATCAGTATATGAATGCCGGTTAACATTGCCTTATTGCCACTTTCGCAAAATCCACTTTCGCAAAATTCATGAAACCTAGGGGGTGCTTGGTTAGAGGGTATAGGAATCAAGAATTGGATTGAATCCCAAAATTGTTGCTTGGCTAATGGGTATAGGTTTTGAAATCTTGGAATGATTCACGAAAAATCAGCCACTCTCCATACCCAAGTAGATTGGAGGGTTTTGATGAATTCCACATTTGATTCCAAAATCTTTAAAAAAAATATATATTTTTGGGACTTTTTTTAAATATATACTGGCTCTGTTTCTATATATTAATATTTATTTATTTATATATATAATATTTTTTATTTCAATTTTGTTTTATAATATGTATATTAATATATATATATATTTAATATATATATATTAATATACATATTATAAAAATTGAAATATATATTTATAAATATTTATACTTATATATAAATATATTTATTTATTTCAATTGATATAATATATCTAATATACATATTAATATTAATATAATTTATATATAATAAAATATAAATATTAATTGAAATATACATATTATAAAACAAAATTGAAATAAATATATTTATATAAATATATATAAATAAATTTATAAAGATATATAAATATATTTTAAACAAAAATATTATATATAAATATATATTATTTATTTCATTTGATATAATATATATAATATACATAATTGAAATATACATATTAATATTACTATAATTTATATATATAATATACATAATTGAAATATACAAATTGAAATATACATATTAATATACATATTATAAAACAAAATTGAAATAAATATATTTATAAATTTATATAAATATATAAATATATTTATATAAATATAAATATAAATAAATTTATAAATATATTTTAAACAAAAATATTTATATATAAATATATATTATTTATTTCAATTGATATGATATGTATAATATACATAATTGAAATATACATATTAATATTACTATAATTTATATATATAATATACATAATTGAAATATACATATTATAAAACAAAATTGAAATAAATATATTTATAAATTTATATAAATAAATATATTTATATAAATATAAATATAAATATATTTATATAAATATATTTATATATTTATATAAATATAAATATAAATATATTTATAAATACATTTTAAACAGAAAATTAATATTTATATATGAATATATATATGGTGGATGGGTATGTGGGATAAGCATTTGAACGAGAAAGAAGAAAGATATGAAAAGAAAAAAGAAATTAAAGGTAAAAAATTGATTATTAAATTTGATATCCATTCCTTACCGATATTTACCAAGCACCCCCATTTGTAATCATACCTTTGTCCAAAACCCATACTAATTTTTTTGTAAATGATTCCAATTACAATTCCGATTCCTAAACATGAACCAAGCGGCCTCCTAATCTTTTTTGCAAAGGTGAAGATAAGTAATCGATCGAAACAATTAGAAAAGTTGTGCATTTGGGTTCACCATATGGAAGTCATGAGAAAGTCAATTTAGCTTACAAATTTTTAAAAGGGAAAATGACCTATTTCATCCCTTGCATTTGACAAAAATATTCTTTTAGTCCCTCACTTTTAAAACGAAGCAATTTGGTCCCTGACATTTAAAAATTAAACCTATTACATCCCTAAACCTAATTGTCAATTTGAATCAAACTATCCAATAACCTAGTAATAAATTTCGAAGATAGAATTGATAGATCATATTCACATAACATTTATTGAACCAAAAAAATAAAAAGTATAACATAAAAGGTCATTCTTTGTCTTGGAATAATAGGATTTTTTTTTGGATAAATCTTTTCATGTACCGTTAGTATATACGCTTGTGAGTCTACATGTATATCATCAATACAAAATTTGGTGTTTAAATTTAAATTGAAATGATATGACAGGTACATAAACCCATCAGTGTATACAATGACAATGTAGGAAAGATTAATTCTTCTTTTTTATGTTATAATTTTTTATTTTTGGTTTCATTAAATTTCACGTAAATATCAAGTTGAGTAGAGTTAGTCAAGTGATCTACCAATTATACCCCAAAATTTGTAATTAGGTTGATAGATGGTTTGATTCATATTGAAAATTGGGTTCAGAGATGTAATAACTTCAGTTTTAAAATGTCAAGGATGAAATTGCTTCATTTTAAAAGTGAGGGACGAAAAGAATAATTTTGTGAAATGTGAGGGATGAAACCGGTCATTTTCCCTTTTTAAAATGCATCTATTTTAGGCATTACAATTTTTTTTTATTTCATTCATTTTTTGCATCTATAAGATGACTCCACCTGCCCCCTTATAACTAAATAACTAAGCTACACTTTGTTGTTTTAGGCATTACATATCAAGTCCTTTTTTTTTTTTTGAAGAAGCGTTACATATTAAGTGGAGAGATTTGCAGGGAATGCAAATCTCCTACATGAAGAGCACACGTGGAAGTTGGAACGCAACCTTGAGTGTACGTATTTTAGAAAACTAAACATTTTAAGACCTGAAACGGGGTGGTTATCGGATTGCTTCTGCTTAGTGTTGGAGGAAGGCAGGAGAAATTTAAAAAAAACAAAAAA